GTCGTCCGAAAACATTGGTCGACAATGACGAATTAAAGACGATTGTAGAAACTGATGAAACTCAATCTATGGCTGAATTAGCAGCAGCTTTCGACGGTAGCATCAAATCAATATTGCTCCATTTGCGTCAAATTGGCAAGGCAAAAAAGCTTATCAAATGCGTACCCCACGAACTCAATGCTACCAATGCCTTGGCAAAGATGAATTGATTGCATATGAGATTACTTTGATTAATACAAATAAAAAATATAGAAAAAAATACGCTTCATATATTTCATGAAAAAAGGCAATTTCATAGGTAAAGATCTAATAAATATCACTGGCGCCTAGTCAGTCGTTTTTATTCAAATATCAAACATCACTAATAGGGCAATGAAATGTTCCAGTAATATTCCATAGACGTTAAATTGAGTAATTCCACACATATTACACTTTGCGATGACGTCAGTGGGTTGGGGAAACTGCTTACGGTCTTATATTATCACATTTGTATGAATAGACAGATGTCTATTCATACAAATGTGTATAATGTGTATAATTTCATATAATATAAGTACTCACCAAATATCTATTTGGTGAGTACTTTTATTATAAGAAATTATAAGGCGAATACAAAATTGAGATAACATTACTCAAAATATGTCCATGTACGAAAGATGAAAATTTCATTATGGTTTAGAGAACCTTCGAAAGGTACTTGATGAAAACTATGTAAAATTATTTATCTAAGATCAACATTATTAACCTTTTTTTTATCTTTTATCTACCCTCTATTGCAGTGCAACAGTGCTTTTCTATAAAATTATAAAAAAAGGACTCGATGTTGAGTACATCACTGTTACAGCGCAGAGGTTTTAACCAAATAAAAACTACTTTAAAGGGTAATAAAGGTTCATTGAAACTACGCTGTGGCACCGCTATGCTAGATGTCGAGACTGTTTTCACTATAGGATAATAAAGCTGAATGTATTTATTCATTTACCTTTGATTGTTAACAATTAATATTATGAAGAAGAAAGACTTGTTTTTTTTTTGGTTTGTTTTTATTTAAGAACTTGAATCAAATATTACAAATTTAAAAAACTGTCACTAACATAAACCTACGTTCTTAGCAAGTAGTTATATTTGAAGAAAAAAAAATTGAGTAAACGGGTGTAAATCTGACTTATCACAGTACACTATGTTTAATCTACGGCATTATAAAACTCGTGGGGTTAGATAATATTATTATAAAGTATATGGACTTGATTGTTTGTTTGCATGTAATACACTTAGAAAATACTGGACCGATTTCAAAATTCTTTTAATTATCACATTATACAAGGAACATTATAAGCTATAATTCAAGCGGGCGAAATCCCGGAAAAACAGGTAGTCAAATATTAAGATATTGACTATTGTGTTTTTGATTAGTATTTATTTCTATTGTTATATAGGTAATTATATTAATAATGGAAGTAAACACTAATACATAATCTATCAAATTTATACTATAGCGCTACCAAAAGCGGTAGCACGTAGTTGATAACCGACACACTTTAGTCAAATCTTTGAACATTGATAACAGATTTAAGACTAGCTTGTAACAGAAACAACCAATCAGAAAACAGTATATAATTATTCACGGTGTAATCATTGGCACACGAAAAGGAGACGGTATAATGTACTTGAACTAGAGAGGGATGGGTTGCATCGATATTCCGAACTGGGTCACGGTCCGTGTAGGGCTGCTTCTGAAGGAAGTTAAAACGAGATACTAAAATATAATGGCGGAACCTTTTCCTTTTTCTTGCCGCAGAAGCTTTTAGTGTTCTTGAAGTACACGAATACGTGTAGAATTACTCATAATTAGAGAATAAAACCTTTTTAAAATGATACTGACGTATTTTTTTGGTGGAATTAGAAGGAGGCGGCTTATTCAACTGTTTATTATGTTTTACCTTATGTTTTTTACTAAGTCTCCAAATTTTAATGTTTTTTTTATTCCAGAGATGTTTTTTACGAAATCTTATTTTAATAATCGAGATCTTACTTTTGTTTTTATATCAACACATTTAGAAAATATTTCAATGATAAGAATGTACACGAGGATTTATCGATAGTTTTTTTTGTAAGGCATAGAAAATGAGTACGTTTATTTTTACAAAAATCTTAAGTTAAATTGTATTCTTCTGTTCTTAATACTTAATTAAAATCGAAATCGTGTAAATAAAAGCAGTTAGGTAAATATATGGCCAGCAAATATTTAGCCGTATTCTAATGAAATTTCTTGAATTTGTTAACCGCCTTTGTAGTTCTTGAATAATATCAGTCGAAGTTTTCTTTTTTTTAACGCTTTTCTTATATATGTCTCTGGTAAAAAAAAAAAAAAAAAAAAAAAAAATGTTCTTTATTAACATTATTTCCATCATTTACAACCTTGAAATTATCCCAGTAAGTAATATAAAATACTTGTATTGGGACCATTTCAAATATCCTTTATTTATATATGTAGAAAGAATACATTATCTATAATACAAATACTTTATTTTTTATTAAATTTCACTGTTTGTTATAAATAGAGATGACGAGTGAGTAAAATAAGAAATTCTATTTAATCCAAAGTCAGGAAATAGAAAAATATTAGATATATATATATATATATTTCTTACTTCAATTTAACAAGAAATGTCTTAGATAAGAAGCATTAAAGTTGAGGAGTGAGGGCTCGCTACGTCACAGTTTTGTAGAAAATATACTAAAGCGTGATGTCTGAGTGTGAGATTTTAACTCAATGTATCGCCGAAATTTAATGATAACGAAAAAAAAATATGTGTTTAATATTTATCAACAATCTACCTGACGGACAAACAAATAAAAAAATTTCGTTATCCCTATTTCTCTTATAAAGTTTATTTGTTATTTATCTCATGTTTTTTATCAATAGGTTTTAATTTCTTCTGCTACTTCGTATGGGTAACTTCTTGTTACTTGCCAGCTTAATAAACAACCCAACCCCATTGAGTGTGGGCTCACAGATACAAGATATCGGGTTCAAAATAATATTCAACCAAAACTTTAAAAAAACATAATCTTTAATATTTCCAGCACTCGAGGTAAAAACAACCCTAGTTACACAAGTAGGTTCATGATTTCCAGTAGGTTTCATTTGATGTTACTTTGATGCGGTTCACCGACTTTCTAAGGCATTACGTCCCCTTAATGACTAAATGTTACAGTTCCGCCAATCCGTGGCTATTTATAGATTTACGCAGTCAACTACATTGGTGAAGTAATTTACGTAAAATTTATATAATTTTTTAATCTTCTAACGACTTTAGTGGAAAGTTAAAGTACTAGTATATTCTGATACAACTTTCACATAATGTAATCAATAATCTCACTAACTACATATATTTTTTTATATTCACAGTCCTTTATTAATATTTATTTTACAGAAAAATACTTAAGAAACGCGACAGTCTCTAACTAATGGAGCTATCCTTCTATTTTTCTATAATATCTTAGTAATATTATTAATGCGGCAAATTTCCACATTAATTTTTCTTCGATTTCGAAAAAAACGTGAAACTTTCGACAAAGACCGCTTAAAGATAGGTATTATTGTTTCACGTAGGTATTTGAAGTCGATTTAATTTTTTTTTTAAAACGTTATGTTAGCTCATAGTAAGTGTTAACTTCACAAAAATCCATAGGAAAGCAAAATACCTATTGTTACTTTCTTTTGTTTTATTCGATGACATTCACATGTCGCCTAATATAAGTATTTTTGGCGTGTGGCAAAACCCTTTCAGAAATTTTGAATAAAAAAAATCCATTAAAAACAAATTGGAAATCAGTCTTCAAATAAAAAAGCGGAGAAATCCATACATACTTGTCATACTCGTCGAACATAGAACCTCCTCTTTTTCGATCTTGAAGTCCATTAAATAGGTATTTACTTGTCAGTCAATATTGGAAATCGTTTAGTTTTACATATGGATTATGTAAAACTAAGTCGTTTCCTAAAAACAACATAATAAAAACAACAGAATACTTTAAATGAGAAATGTTTTACATATTAGTAAGCTCCCTAATTCCCATAGATAATAATATATTACAACGTACATTTGGGAATCCAAATAAGGAGATAAGTGGAAAACGGAAGTGGATTGTTCTCGAACATGCTTTTAGGGAGTAAGAAGGCTTTGTATGTTTGTGGAGCGCTCGCGGGTCGACATCTCCGGAATAGGGAAAATGGTGATAGTAAATAATAAATCGTCCTAGAAGTAGGACCTGCTTTAAAAAATACTGAACAATTCGTTCGTCCCTTTGATAGATTATACAATATTGAAGAAACAATAAAAACACAAATAAGGTTAAAATAAGTTACCTTATTAATTTTAAAAGTTTTAGATTTAACACTCTTCGCCTTAAAGTTGAAAATCATAAATGCAAAAATATAATTGCTGGACACGAGAATGAGGCGGGCAGTCTTATATGACCTGATTTGATTCGAAGAAAATATATAGGTAGATCATTCGTAGGGTATTCAAATTTGAAGAATTGCGACATGTTAAATGATAATATACTCAGTTCCAATGGAATAATAGGGATTGTATAATGATGACGTCACACAGGGCAAATTGGCGTTGTCAATATCACGGAAGGGTGGAGAACGTTTAGGTCCATGTGATTATCAGAAACTTGATATCTATCTTGGTATCTATCGTGGTACACGCGTTCTGCATAATATTCATATCATTATTATGAATAACATTAGTATTGATATTTTTCTATCAGATTGAGTAGCTGTGCGCACGGAAACCTTTTAAGTCAATTGAATTAGAAGCTAACCCAATTGCTGTAACCTCGGTACACTTCACCTGGTTTGTTGTCGAGATTTCCCTGGGCTAGTGCGATTTAATAATTGAAAATGTTTAAATACCTTCAAAAGAAATCTATAATATTTCAAAACTTATCGATTGTGAAATTTTGTCGTGAGCGATAAATGTACTGACCAGTATTCGTCCGGTGGTGGTCTGGCCGGAGATGAGCTCGCCGGCCCAGTCCTTGGCCTCGGTCATGAAGGTTCCCTCGAACTCCTGTTTGCCCTGCCGCGCCGCCTTCTGCTCCTTCTGCTTGGGGTCGTTGGGCGCGAGCTCGGGCTCCTTGCGGCAACAGACGAACGCGCACGCGCGCCATACCAGCACCACCAGCAAGCCCGCGAGGAAAGTGAAGATCGACGACAAGAGGAAGCACCACCATTTTCGGACCCTGAGGCAGTCATCTTCAGGGATCGACGCGGTAGTCGCCTCTTCCTCGGACGAAGCCATTCCCCGAGGGCGCGAGGCATCCAGTCAAGCGCGCCATGCACGTGCAGCGGTGCGCGCGCTCGCACGCCGTCCCGCGCGCGACTGAGCTCGCCGCCGCCCGCGCCCCGCCGCCCGCACGCGCCGCCCCGCCCCGCTCCGGCACGGTCGATGCCGTGCCGATCGATCCGCGCACGCGCGCCCTACGCCACCACCGCCGCTGCTGCACTACCGACCTGCTGCGCTCATGCTGAGTCTTCCGAGCTTCTCTTCTCTTCTCAAATATGTTCCACGAGAATCACTCAATCGCTACCCATAACGGCACCACCTCGCACCATGTTTTACCTCGTCCATCGGCAATGTCTGTCGTAGCCATATCAACACCAAACTGTATTATAACTGATTATAAAATTATTTTTTCTATTTTACCCGGAACACTTACTTATTGTGATTGATTTTTACGAATGCGGAGGTTTCGTAATGGTCGATGTATTTTAAAAATGCGTCGCTGGCCGTAGCGCTACGCCGCCCTATGACTACGTCAGTGATTGCTACGAACCTCGTAGTCGACTACGGGCCTGCTACGATTGGTCGAAAAGAAATCGGGGACGCGAAACTACTACAGCGATGCGCGACGAAAACGGCTAAACATTTTATTTTATTTTATTATTATTCGTTTTAAAAAGAAATTTACATTATTCTGAGACTCTACTATAATACTAAATGCAACACATTTGAGTCGTTTATTAAATTCACTATGCACTCACGATATTTTCGAAATAAAAATGTAGATGGCGCTCATTTGCCTATGAAGCAAAAGAAACATACAGAAAATAAAACTAGTGTCAAGGACATTTGAACATCAGTCAACGTCACTACTTATTCGCTGCGCTTCTAGTTTTCTATTTCTTATCGCGAATATGCAGTCTAATAAAAATATGAATGAAAGAACACATGCCTTCCAAGTATTGAATCATTTATTCTAGAGTTCTACTTTACCTCTCAACTAGGTGAGTATTTTCTCAGAACTACCATTATAAAACATGACACAGTTACATAATATAAATTAAAAAGAAAGTCACCTACTAAACAATTAAATTGCAGAGCAGAAAAATCTAATTCACAAATGATATTACTATTGAAATAAGGAGTAAATCAATGCATGTCATTAAAATAATAATAATAAGTCAATTTTTGTAAGATTGTTGAAAACAAGTAACAAATTATATTAAGTATATGAAATAGAAAATTAAAATTACATTACATGTTGCAGATTATTATCACCAGTCAATAAATTAATTTAATTATTAAATGACAACATTTCATATTTTTATTTTGAAATCTATCTAAAAGTATTTTTTAAAAAAGTATCATTCATATAATACCTAGTCTAGCCATAAGTTCTGTTACAAAGAAAATATCCGATAATTTCTAAAAAAAAATTTTTTAATTAAATTTTTCATATGTGTCTATGTAGATTGAAAAAGATATGTTAACGTACTAAACTAGTTATTCAAAGTGTCCACCCTTAGCTTTCACGCCCGCTTTTAAACGGTCGGGTCATTTGTCGATGGATTTACGAATGGTTTTCATTGGAAACTTGGTCACTGCTGCCTCCAAAGATTTCTTGAGCGACTCAATATTTGGGTGATGCTTAGAGCAGGCCATGTCCTCTAGCACAGACCACAATTTATAGTCCAAAGGATTAAAGTCCGGACAAGCTGAAGGTCAATCATCAGCCTTTATGAAGTCTGGAACATTTTACTCAAGCCAAATTTGGGTAGTGCGCGCCTTATGACCCGGGGCTAAATCCTGTTGGAATGTCAACACTTCGTTTTTGAATAAGGTGTTAAGAAGTTTAACTACCGCTTCTAACACGGTATCTTGATACACTTTGGTTGAAGTTTTCACTCCTTTTTCGCAACAACGGAGTCTTGTAACCCCTTGGTAGGAGACATCCCACCTAACGTAACGTATGACGTATGCTGGATGATGGCTTCGCTAAACTTTGGTTACTACCTCGGAAGCTTTTTTAATAGCTGTGTGCATACACTCGATCATTTTGTTTGTTGTAGTGCTCCTCGATTGTAAAGTATTTTTCATCGGTAAAGAGAATTTTTCTGTGTTTTTCGTCCGCGTATCGAAGTAACAGCCTGATTTAAGGTATGTCCTGTGTATCTCTGGTAAGCCCCTAGACCTAAGTCTTGTTTGATAATCCGAGAAAGTGTCCTCGGTGGGATTCTCATTTCTCTGGAAAGGATTTTCTGCTTCCTTATGGGATTTCGAGAATTCTGGCCGTGACTGCATTAATGGTCTGGTTTGTTCGAATAGACCGCGGTCGGCCAGATCTCTCACGGTCATCAACAGACATGGTTTCAGTGTACCATTGGATGGTACGATACACAAACATTCGGCTGATCCCTAGCTTTTTCAATGTATCAACAATGTCGGCTGGCTCCTTACCTACTTTGTACAGTGCAATAACTGCAATTCTCTTTAGTGTCCGACTCCATTTTCAAAACAAATAATTTCTAAACAAAAATCATACAATAAAGGCGGGAAAGAAGACTATTTTTCATCGTAGTAGCTAATGTTCGAAATTCTTTTTTTTTTAATGTATTTAAACAGCTAGTAACAGTATTTATGTTATAGGTAAGTTAAAATCTAGAAATAAATTTAATTTTTTAAATTTCCCGCGAAAACGCCACCTTCTGGCATGGCGTCACTATGACGTCACGGCTCTCTCGAACTAAAATCATTCTTGTCAACATAAGGTTTAATTCTCCAAGTTCTGATATGCGTAAGAGGGGCGTGACGTCACGCGCTGTTTGTGGTCATGTGACGAGTATAAAATATTTGTTTTTCATAAATATATTAACAAAAGTGTGATTATCGGTAAAAGTATATTAAAGAACTACCAGAAAATAAATGTTTCGTTTCCTGTCTACACCCGTATTATTAAAAAAACTATTATTGAAAACGTTGTTCCTTAGGTTATTAAAATGATAGCCGCCCGACTTACATATATTTTTTTAAATATATCTGTAATTATTTTGAAAAGAAAATCGTTATTATAGTGATACTTGTATTTTTTCTATTTATAAATATAGATATTAAATATTTTTACATAAAATGTTAAAAAATAATGTTACAGCTAAAACATAAGCAAAGTCCTGGAGATTTTTTTATATATACAGGATATAATACAATTTTTCAATATGTATTTGATACAAAGTTGGTTCACAATTCGTGGAGAAATTTGTGAACGTACATACAAAATATACATAACCGTCGAACATTCAAAATCCTTCATTATGATTTTAAAATGTAACCTTCGTTATGATTTTGAAGTCATAGGAACACTATCTCGTTTTCTTCGATGATGTAACTATGCCATCTAAGTAATACTAACAGCGCGGGAAGTGGTTTCCGGGCGGGTATTCGTAACGCATTTCTCAGAGTTCTCAGCGGTTTCATATAGAGATAATAAAAAAATATTCGATGTAACTATTTGTTTTGCTATTGTGATCCAGTTTGGGAAATACTTACTCAGTACCTGGGTGACCGAGATTTGTGTTTGTTTTTGGTAAATTAAACCTAACTAGGTTACTTTGTCACACCCAAAACCTGGATGCTAAATTTCATGAAAATTGTTGGAGCTGTTTAAGAGATTCAGATTAAATATTGTTTACGTATATAAAAGAATTGCTTGTTTAAAGGCTAGATAGTCTTAACAACTACTAAGAAGAGAAACAAACTAGTATGATTCAAATCAATTTTATTTTGAATAAGTTAATTAAGCATAAAAATAATTATTTTACTAATTCTTATTAAAATTCTGTGGAAGAATTACAGATGATTTTTCAATTGACTTAATTTCTATTTAATTCTCAGGAACATTTTCTCCAATCCATTTTAAATAAGGTGGGTTTCCATTCTTTATGGGGAGGGATATAACTTCACACACTTCGTATGGGTGGTTTGATCGTACATATTCCGTCAATTTATCTACTTGAGATGTTCTTGTCTTGATCATGAGAAGAGCCTGGAACAAATAAACCACACTATCGCTTAAATCTAATTTTATTTCTATGAAATTTAATATTAATTTCATGCTATAAACTTTATTTAATAAATTTGATTTCGAAAACACAAATTTTTTATTTTTATTTTTTTTATTTTAATAATTAATATTTTTTATTATTATTTATTATTTTATGAAATATATGATGAAAGTAATTATAAAACAAGTGATGACTTTAAAGAATATGTATAAAATTAGTCTAAATTATTTTAAAAGGCATGTCATTTAGCCAAATGTAATTATTTAAATGCAAAAACTAAAAATAGAATTGATAAAGTTAAAATGATGTGCAATATCATAAATAGTGAAACTGGAAGAAAAATATCCTGTAATACAAATTTTAAATTAAATATTGATGATAAAAAAGTAACAGATCTTGAAGTTGCTACAGTATTTGTAAATTTATTTACTGAAATTCCAGTCTTAATTACACAATCTTTGAATTTGCTGAATCTATTTTAAAGGCAAATTTAAATAATTATAATAGCCAATTTAAGTTTCAATACATTGATTTTAAAATCTTTTAATTAGCTAAAGAAAAAGAGAACCACTGATTTATGGGGTAATTCCATTGACATTTCCAAATCCGTACCTAATTAATCCGTACCTATTAAAAAAAAAATTACCTAATTAAGACAATAGCTCCAATCCTAGCTTATATATTTAATGAATGCCTTATTTAAAAAAGTAGATATGAAAGATAATAACATAGGCCTTGTGGATAGCACAGTATTTTTAAGAATAACATTAGATTCTAAACTACAATATTAATAAACTGTAGAATAGACTTAACATCAGCATATGACATAACGAAGATACATAGGTTAACTGACATAGATACTGCCAGATTAGTATACTTATACTATTATTTTCATTAGTATACTATTATTTTCATAGTGTAATGTCGTATGAAATATTATTGTGGAAATAAATGCTGCCGACATATAATAACTCATTCAGAGGTCTTTGTGTGCACTTCTACAATAAGGTCCCAAGCAAAAGTATAAGATATCATGCAGTTAAAATATACTATTAAAAAAATACTTATAAAAAAGCTAATTATAATGTATTAGATTATATGACAGATATGAATGCTTGGACTTTAGATGGTCCAGCAACTAGATAGGTGATTTCTTCTAAACTAATTACATCTCAAAAATTATCTTGTTGCACTTATTATTAAATTATTATGTTATCATTATAAGATCATAGTTTTTTTTCTCTATTTATTATGTATTGATCTGGTAATATGGTTTTTGTGAATGTAATTACTCCTATTAGAGCTGGTGAGTTTCTTGCTTGTTCTTCTCATCAGCCAAAAAAAGACCTGGACGAGTGGTGGGAAAAAATGTTGGATGATTCATAAAAGTACTTTTAAGAAGTCTATTTGAGTAGACTATTGTGACTGGACTTGAGTTCCTAAAAGTATTAATGATGGATATTAATATTTTTAGGAACTTAAATAGGTGTATTAGACTACAGATAGACAAAAAAATTACCTCATTATCTTCATTAATTTCATTTTTCCATTCATATATAGATGTAACCTGGGGTATTATGTTCACACATGCAGCCAATTTGTTTTTAACTAATCCATGACCAATCGTTTTTCCAACATCATTATTCGGAACTGTTACGTATGCCACGGAATATTTGTCTACAATAACAGAAAAATACATAGTTATGAGAAAACATCACAATGCAATAAAAATATAAGAAACATTTTACAAAAAAAGGAAAATTGTGTTATACAAGTCAATTTGTTGAAACATACCAGCGTCTACGCTTTCTGTAGACATATTAGCATGTGATACAACAAAATTTGGTCTAAAAATAGCTAAATAAAAAGTAATCAGTGATTTTCTAGTTATGTTTACCAACATTTTTGACAATTGACACAATAACTAGTCTTGTGTAGTTCGCGAACGAACTCGGGAGCAATTAGGGATATTTGATATACATCGATGTGTTGAAAATATCGATGTTTACAATTCGATACATCGAATCGATCCAAAGTTTTAAAATGCTTTCGATATACTCGTATAATATATATGTATAAATTGTATCGATTCCATTTTTCTCTATAAAAATAAAAAACAAAATTTATTAATTATACGTGCCTCAGACATTCTCTCACTATGTCATTTCGAAACTCATTTCACTTATGCCATGAAACGTTATCACCAATGAGGAAGTGTTTTAAGAAAAAAAGAAACCACTAAAAAGCGCCTCACTAGATGGCGATAAATTTATTTTTGCAGAAAACGAATAGACCAAAGATAGTAATTTCCGTACTTTTAAATTGAGTTCGGACACCGAGTGAATTCATATTCGTTTGGATTTTTATAGAATTGCTGCGCTGGTTCTGAGAACTGATGCCCACAGATGAACACTACACTAAATTTTCAAGTTAAAAATTTACAGGTCTAAATATTGGGTTCGTCCCCTTCTAAGTGAAAGGTACCTGACAGGGTCATTTTACATATACCATAATAAATTGAGGCAGGACGAAAGCATTTTTCTAACGACTATCGGATGTAAAAACTTATAACCTTACTAATTTAGGAACAGCATTATTCACATACAATAGCTAAAAATATCTGTGAAATTCAAATAAAATTACTGATATTGTTCTCATACTTGTACTTGATGTTTAAATTTATACTCGTGCAATTTTTCTTCGAGGTTTTGTGAAACAACTTCATGTAATTATTAACATAGACCAATCGTTAACGCAATTTCGTAAATAAAGCGAAATTAGTGCCGTGTAAGCGGAAAATTAATATGCTAAATGAACTTTACGGTGGCATTTAAATCAACCATCCTATTGTAGGTTTTAAATGTAATGATTTAACTATAATCATTATAAGCTCAGTTGATTGCATTATATATATATATATACATACATATATTAAATCATAACTATATTAAATCATCATATAAAATATCGAATTTTATACACTAAAATAAATATCGATTATTACAATATCGATGAAATAAATACCAATTTTTCATAAATCGATTATTTTTTTCCGAGCCTACTCTGCAGCTCATGAATTTTCCGGATCGCGCACATAGCAGTGCACACGCGTAAACACGTTTTTCATTACGGAATAGAGAAAAGTAAAATTCCTGGCCGTACACAGGATAGCATTACCTACATATCAGACTGGAAAAAATCGGACTGCCGGACCTGAAAATTCAGTGTAGTACACAAACCCCCTTAGTTGGTAATGAAGTGATATTTTAAGAAAAAAAAAGAAAACCTGAAATTTGCAAAGTTCGAAACTTAGATATCAAAACAAATACGAAAAAGTACAAATAGAAAGTGACTTGTTTATTGAGTTTTGAAAATTGATATATTTTTATACATGAAAGAAAACCGAAAGTGTTTTCATGCAGAAATCAAGCCAGTACCATAACGACAGCTTGTTTGATTTCGGGAACTAAAGTATTTTTTCTTTAAATACTTCCAATAAGTTAAGCTCATCACTAATGTTGACATGTAACCAGACATCGTTCCTTTACACGTAATATAATAAATAACATAGACTTACGATTCAAATAAATTTAAACACGGAACGATGTCATATTTGTTAATTTTCGATATTCAATTTACTTTTATTACATCAGAAAGAAAATTTTAATGAATGTGGGAGTATTTAAAAAATACATGACATACACAATGAGGGAGTATTTAAAAAATACATTAGTTCCCGAAATCAAACTAGATGTCGTTACGGTACTTTCTTGATTTCTCTATGACAACCCTTCCGGTTTTCGTTCATGTGTAAAAGTAAATTAGTTTTTAAAACTCAATAAACAACTCATATTCAATTTGAACTTTTTCGCATTTGTTATGATATCTAAGTTTCGAACTTTACAAAATATTTTCTTTTTAAATATGTTACTTAAAAGGAACGGAAATTACTATCTTTGTTCCATTCGATTCCTGCAAAAATCAACTTTTGCTTTAATCGCCATCTAGTGGAGGTGCTTTTTAGTGCTTTATTTTTTTTTAAATACTTTCTTATTATCCGATACTTTCTAGTGACATCTAGTTTGATGTCGAGAAATAATTTAATTTTATAAAAACTTCGAATTAACATTGAATTATAGGTATAGTGAAGTAATGTCATCTCATTAAAAATATAAAGGCGATCAAAAATATATTCACTGCCCAAACAATAAATCTAATTATAAAAATATATTTTATGAATACAAGTGAATTAGTTTATTTTCGGGGCCAAAAATTTGATGTAAATATACAATGTTCAATAATTCTGTCACAATAAGAAGTAGCAGTATCAAAACGAGTAAACGAACTGCCTTAAAGTATTTCAATATAGGGCAGATCGTTCACTAGTTTTAAAACCGTTAGGGGTACTAATATTCTATGTTTTAAAACTGCTCCTTCAGCAAAGAGCTAAGAATCTCAACGCACTAACGCGCTACAACAGCGAACTAGTTCGTTTAGGAGTCGCGAACTAACTCGTTCGATTTAAGTTGTGAACCTTCGAACTGTTATGCCTTACGCCAAGCTTACGCCCAACAATAACTTTTTTGACTGGCTGTTTTTATAAACAGGCAGTCAAAAAAGTGTATGTATATATTTTAACTATAACAACTTTACGTAATACATTTTAATAATTTATCTTAAAAATATGTTCTATTTTTAGAGAAAAAAGTACACAGAAAAGAACCGATTTTAGTTGTGTTTTAAAATCATTGTGTTGTGTTAGTCATTTTACACGGTTGCCCAAAAAAGCAGTATGTTTTGTTAAGGTAATGTATGTAGGTACTTAAAATGAAAAAAATGTATTTGATGATTTAATTATTCACATTTAATAGTTACATTTTGTTACAATTATTATGTCATACCTACTTATACCTACTTAGGTATTTTGTAGGTATCGAAACTTTTCATTTATTAACGTTTACAATTTACATAGATACGTACAATAATACTTAAGCTTAACCATATCTATTAAAATATATCTTATCAATTTTAAAACCTTAAATACAAGAAAAAATTGTCATCATTGCATATTTTATCCTATGGTTTAATATTGATAATAGAACTTATTTTCGAAGAATTTACGAATTATAAGCCTATAACCTATTTACATAGTAATTAAACAAACAATACATATAATACAGCGGGTCTATCGCGTATAAAATTACAACTTCATACAAAATATTTAATAAAGAATTAACATAAAATTTATTTGCCTAACAAAGTATGAACCGTCATTTTTTTTAATATTTTAAATTGTTTTATATCGTTTATAATTTTCATCTTTATATGGTATTCCGTCGTTGAGAGGCAGTGAGAGTAGAAGTGTTAATATTTTTTAAATTTCGTACCCAATTCTCGCCAAAAAAGTTTTGTTTAGTTTTATTTTTTTTCTCATCATTACTAACAAGTTTCAAGTGTCATTTTTGAGTGTATAATGGTGAAAATCATACGAATAGTTTGAGCGAAACCACATCATAAACACTGTCTGAACCTAGCGTTGTCATTGTTCTGCTCCGCATCTCACGGACTTGGCAGCGGGGGCTGCACTTCACCTCCTTCAGCTGAGAGATAGATTCATATTTCTCTTTCCTGTTGCACTCACAGAAGACAAAATGGTCTTCGATCGTACACCAACAAATAAATTCTTATCAGATACTAGCATACCAATATAAGTCACCTGTGGAAACAATTAATAAAGTAAGCGAAATGGAAAAATTCTTGTTTTTTTTTTACTTTAAACGCTAAAATGAATTCGAAGCTCGATTAAAAATTATAGAAGAGAGTTATTCGCGTATGGCTAGCCTCGATAATCAGTTCCACTAACTGCAAAATCATAAAACAAAAATAGAACAACAGTTAAGGCAATGTTATATTGAAATATCCAACCTGCCAAAACGACGTGGAGAAAACTTAGTGAATATCGTGGAACGCCTGGTTGAAAACATTATGCAGTCAATACAAGTTCAGATATTGTATCAGCTCATCGTGTACCACACGCCGATCCCAATAATCAATGACCAAAACGCCGATCCCAAAAATCTACGACCAAATGTAATAGTGAAATTCTTTAGTAGAATCCCTCGTGAAAATATAATTTCTGCCTCCCGTGCTATAAAGGGAATTGACTCAACAAAATTCTTAACTAACGGAACTCCAACTACGATATATGTCAATGAACATCTAACCCATAAACAATAAGATATTGTAACGATAGTGCAAGGAGACAGCAAAGAGACAAGGTATAACCTTGTCTCTTTGCATGTATGGGTCAAACACGGTAACGTCCTGGTGCGGAAGTCTGACACCTCGGTAGCATCCGCCATTAGGACAAACACTGATATTTCAAAAATTAAATAAATCCTATTATATCTGGATTCGTCTAACAACGGGCGCTCATATAAATTTTTATGATGCGGCATTTTTTTCTGGTGGGTATAACGTAATTAAAAATATACATTTTACTATGAGGAATATAATTAACAGATATCTATTTATTCTTATTTATGGGTACAACATATTGCTGGTTTTTTGTCTTGAATTGTATAGTCTTGAATAGCATGGCACAAAATACAGCTATGAAAATGATTTATATTTCTATAAAACAAATGTAACAATAATATTCTAAATTAATTTTATTCATTATGTGATACATTGTAATTTGAATAATGTATTATTTTATAAATGATTGCATGTTATGTGTATTTTCGAGGCCCAATATTATTTATAAACCTAAAAAAACCTACAATTATATGTAAACATAACAAACTTAAAACGTTGTGAAGTTGTTTTGTTTATTTTTTCTGTGTATTTTGATTCCAAGAGCAGTTAGCAATCTGGATGGCATAAGTTAGTATATACAAGTGTTTTATTTGATGATTTACTTGGTAAT